TTGAAACATCATCCACTTTAAGATTGTCTAGCTCTAGCATTGCACTCCGATATCTTTTCTTTCTTTTTCTGAAGGGATTAGGAGGAGGTGATAGAGGGGGTGGGAGCTGGGGTAATAGACTAAATGAGAAAATATCAAAATAAAAATATGGTTTTCGAATATCTGAATCAAATCAACACAACAGAGGAAGCCAAAAGACGGACAAAGCAACCCTTTGGCTATGGCTGCCACACCTTCACTGTGAAACTCAACCAATGGTATAATTTGCTCTGCGTGGCAATGAAACTGAGGGAGAGAGGGACAGGGAGGGGGGAGGGAGAAAGAGGGGAAGGAGGGAGGGAAGAGAAGGGAGGGAGGGAGGGAGGAGAGGGAGGGGAAGGAGGGGAAGGGATTAGGGGGTCAAACACCTGTGTATTCACACACCTGTTAATTAGGAGACACATCTGCTCTCTCTCTCTCTCTCTCTCTCACTTGACACGTATTTTTTCCTCTCTCTCTCTCTCTTTCACTCTCTATCCCTATTTTCCTTTCACTTTCACATGCACATTCACAGAATAAAATTTCATTCACGTACACAGCTCAGAATGCTATTTTCAAACCCTTTTATTCAACCAAAACCAGTTTTTTAACATTATTCTCTCTCCCGTCTTTTCATTCTCTCATTCTAAAGGAAAATGAGAATTATTCCTCTCTCTTTACCGTCTTTCTCGTATCCGGAGTGATGATGTGGCTCGATTTTGACGAAGGGAAGGGAAATTACCCCGTAAGAGTGTCGTTAATTCACATAAATAAGGATAAAAGAATTTACTTTGAACTTTACAATAACCTCTTCCGTGGCAGGTGAGCAGTGTTACCACATGTCCTTGCAATGTCCTTGTTGATATTTTATCTAAATTCGCGTCTAATGTCACTCAAGATGTTGAGTACATTTATCAAACTTATAGTAGTGTTTTATTAAAGGTATAGAACCTACTATGCGAAGTCATCTGTATGGTTTTATCTTTATTCAAAAGCAGTATGATCGTGGTTCGGAATTTGGCAACAGTGTCGTTCGTGTAAAACAAGGATGCCTAAAATATTTATCACAATAATCACTGTAATATATTGTATTAATGATTGTGATTGAAAGTTCTTGTGATCAATGTTACTTTTTTACAATTTAAAAAATATCTATGGGCCATTCTTTAACATTACTTATTTATCATCCAGTCTTTACAATCAATACAAGTACTTTTTTTGACACGTAAATACTGACCTTTATTTGTTACTACTTATAGTCCACTTTTAGTTGTTCATTGAACTTGAATTACTATTGTTTTATTTATTTATTAGTACTTTGCACAATATAGAACAAACTTCTGTTGTGAATGAGAAAATTATAATGATAATGACAATGATGAGGGTGATAATGATAATGATGATGATAATGATAATGATAATGATGATGATGATGATAATGATGATGAACTATGATGTTGATGATGAAGATCATGATGATGATGAACTATGAAGATAACGATGATGGTGATGACGACGATGATGATGATGATGATGATGATGATGATGATGATGATGATAATGATAATGAACTATGATGATGATAATGCTAATGATGATAATGATGCTGATGCTGATGATGAACTATGACGATAATGATAATGATGATGAATTATGATGAACGATGATGGTGACGATAATGATGATGATGATGAACTATGACGATAATAATAATGATGATAATGATGATGATGAACGATGATGTGATGATAATGACACTACTACTATTACTGATTATACAAATAATAATGGGTATTGGAAAAATAATAAAGATATTGATAATGATAATAATAATCACAGTAATAATAATAATAATGATAATAATGATAATAATGATAAATAATAATAATAATAATGATAATAATAATAATAATAATAATAATAATAATAATAATAATAATAATAATAATAATAATAATAATAATAATAATAATAATAATAATAATAATAATAATAACAACAATATCAATAATAATGATAATAATAATAATAATGATAATAATAATAATGATAATAATGATAGTAAAATAATTGCATTAATAATGGTGATGATAACTGTAATGATAATAAAATTGAAAATGATAATATGATAATAATGATAATATGATGCTAATACTACTGATAATGATACTGATAACGGCAATAATAACGATAATAATAACAATAATGATTACAATAATGGTGATAATAACAATAGCGATGGTAATGATAATTATCATTATTATTATTATTATTATCATTATTATCATTATCATTATTATCATCATCATTATCATTATCATTATCATTATTAGCATGATAATCACTATTATTATTATAGCAATAAGAATGATCATGAAAATTTTGATAATGATAATGACAATAATGATAATGATATAATTATTATTAATAAAACTAATAATAACAAATTGATTAATAACTAGAAGCAGTCAGAGAGCGCATA